TGCATCTTAAAAGATTTAAGAATTTTTATTTATAGTTTCAAAGATTAAATTTCTTATATTACACCATTAATATATTAAAAGTGTTATAATGTAGTCTTTTCGTTAATTTTTGTTGCTTATTGGTTGACTAAATGATCAACGAAAAGACGATTTGCCATTTCATTTTACACCTTCAAAAAATTTAAGAATTCTCATTTTTGAAGGTGTAAAATGAGAATTCTTAAATTTTTTAGGGTATAAAATACGATTTGCCATTTTATTTTATTGTTTTTAAGGTTAGGAGGGCAAGGAGTTCATCCAAGTTAGTGAAAAAACCCCTAGAGTCTTTCTGAAGTTTGGCCCACGCACGACCAAGGGAAAAAGAAAAGGGAGGGGGAATAAGCCTCTCCTAAACCGGCCTGGTGTTGTTGGATGTTTCTGATCAATAAAATAGTAAGAGGATTACTCAATAAAAAAAAAAGACCATCAAAAGTAGCAATCATTAAAATACAAATAGTGATTCAATATTTTGATTATCCATTTTTGGGGGCTTCTGTCTTACACACGAAAGATTAGATTGTTTGAATCACGAGTCTTATATACTGTGTTATAATCACCTCATATTGATAAAAAGTTTCGAGAACAATATGAAATAAAAAAAAACAAAAACAAAAAAAACAAAGTTCCATAGGTTGTGCACATACATGAACCATGTTTTGCCTTTAAATTTCTTATTCTCAATGGAAGTCATCATATAATTATGCTAGTCAATTTAATTGTTTTTTCTTTTTGACCGTCTTGCGTCGAGGAGAGATATTTAATATTTTGAGGATATTAAAGTATAAATATTTTAAGTTACATATTTTATAATAATTTAAAATTTAAAACTATATAATGATTTAATGTAGTATCAAAATAAAAAGTTATGTATTAGAATCTCCCCTACACTCTGATAGTTAAAAAAAATGAGTAATGTTATTTGGACAAAAAAAATTGACAATATTTGTTGATTTTCAACATTATTGTCATTGATTAACTGTGTATATCAGTATTTATTGAGACCTACTACATATTCAATGGTTATAATAGAGGGAATTAGCAAAAAGTATCAATATTTTTTTGTCAAAAATAATATTTTTTTTTTAAAAAAATCACGTACTAAGCTCAAAATCTAACCTAAAGTATAATTATTTAAATTACACTCTATCTAATAAGTTAAAATTTTAGACTAGGAGGTGATTTAACATTTTTTTTAAATTCCTTTTTCTCTCTCTCCCTCTCTCTCTCCATGTCGTTGAAGTCGTCAACTCTTGAATGGCAGTGTAAAGTGTCCGCATGGCTTTGCGAAAAGCCATTTTGATGCTGGTCCCATATTGAAAGAAGCGGGTTATATTGCCGTGGCTTATTATTATCATGATTGATAAGTGGATATCTCAACCATCCCTTTAGTTTAAGGGGTTAACACTACAATATCGAATTTTACTTTTTAATACTGTACCTAAACCCTAATTAAAATTAAGTGTGATATCGTACTCGTCGGGAAATTTCTTTTGCCACTAAGTTGAGATCTTCTTCATTTCATTTTCACTTAATAATAAAACATTTACTATGAATTGGAAGTACAATCCACTACTTAAAGTAGACTCGCTATCCGAACACTATAGGAGATTTAATATTCACTAATAATGTACTAAAAATGATCTGAATCTGTTACCACTAGCATGAACCCGTTGATTCGAGAGCTCATCTATAGATTATAAATGAGTGAAATGGCCATTATTAGAATAGGAAAAATTATAAATTACCTTCCTATAGATTGGTCGAGTAACATATTCACTAAAATAACCTGCCAAAATAACTTCTATATCACCAAGAGTATTAATTAGGCACATATTATATCTTTTATTTTTCTTCTCAAGAATATAAATCAATATTTTTTTTTCTCTTATTTTTCAATGCATTAAAATAGATTTTTCAATTTTAGGTATAAAATTTCTACACTAGACAACACTAAAAAATAAAAGAAAATTTTCAGTGCCTAGCGGGTATTACGTGGTAGTATCTTTTTTTTTTTTAACAGGGTGGTGTCAAATAGTATACATCATGTATAAATTATTGTACACTTTCAATTAATTATTGTTATTTGTGAATTTTTCAATCTTTTTTTAAATTAATGTGTATCTTTTTTTGATGGACACACGCAAGAGGATGCAACAAATTTTGAGCATACTTTTCCCGAGTTCAAAAAGATCAACAAGCTCAAGTCTAATCACATCAATATATGTATTTGATAAGTAAATATTGTGACAACTTTTTATTTAACATAAATATCATCGGACACTGTTATATGATAAAAGTGTCATCTTAGCCTTCCCTGACCAGGATTGCTCTCACTTGTAGCATTCGCCTCCTTAATTGTGTATTGATCAAAAGGCAGGGCAACACAGCCCCCAAACTAATTGAGTAATTACGTCCAATATGTTCCCCCCTTATTCCTGATATCCCATGGTGCTCCGAGGTGAGTAGGAATGGGGTGACTTTGTATCACCATAGAGCAATAAACCAGTCCAAATTTGATATATCTACTGGACAATTCATCCGATAAGCCAAACATGAAATACTTTCTATAGATGCTTATCCCAATGGCATGATAAGCATGGCACATCCTTTGTCTAGTGGGGAGGGTCATAGTCATGGATCCAATGTTGGCCACTTGAGCGCTATACCAAAATCTGATAAAGTTGGCCAAAATGTAATTGTTGGCTGCAATCATTTATTAGTATGGTTGAGTATAATGTATTTTTGGTCAATGGAAGTTGGGTAGGTCTTTCCCGGAAAGAAAGGCAACATATCACGTGACGTTGACCATCAACATCATCTCATCAATGACATATATCTAAGGTAAAAGTAATTTTTTTCTACTATATTATCTTTACTTTAAAATCAATAAAAATACGTCACGCGTACAATTTTTTTATTTTATTTTATGATCTTTATCATTTTATTTTTTTTAAAAATTAAATAATTATAAATTATCAAATTCAAAATCAATGATCGAGATTAACGTAGACACACTATCATTACCGAGTTACCGGCTAGGGTATTGTAGCCTTGTCATTGCAAAAAACATTGGATGATTGCTCTGTTGAAGGGGCTGCTGAGTGAATCAATGTGTGATACGTGTGGTGACTGTGAATCCAAATTGTGAAAAACGTAATATAGAAAAGGGCTAAAATCACTGCTACCATCTCATCTCATCGCCACCAACTCTACCACCAATATCACTGCTACCACCCTCACTCTTGCCATCGCTTCCACCACCCCACCACCACCGCCTTTACTAATCCATTAATACAATCACCACTGACATCATGGTGGTTGTGGTGATGATTGCAGGGTTGGTGGCAACAATAATAAGGTGATAGTAGGGAGATAATGGCGGCAATGATGATAATGGTGTAGTGGAGTTGGTGGAGTCGGGTTGAGGAAGGTGGTGGTGGTACTTAGCTGAAGCAACTCCTAGTAATTGTGGAGGCGGTGGTAGTGATGTGGCGTTGGCAGAGTGTAGGCATAATATGGATTAGCCAAAAAATATGGGTGAACAAATTGGTTTATCATGAAACGGTCATAAAATTCTTATTTATTGGTGTATCGTAATAAGTAAGAGATTGCTACTTAAAAATTTAATTTATTCCCAACATAATTTTAATTTAAGTAATATAATAGTCGTATAAACGAAGTGGCGAGATATCAAAAATATATTATATTGATACAATAAAGCATCTTGTTTAAGCTCATAACTTAAAGAAGTAAAATAACCATCCAGCTCAATTAGATCTAACGACTTATCTTATTACTCACATTTGAACCTTTTAATTATATTACTTATTTTTATTTGCTTTTAACTTTTTAGTCACAATAAATATTTCAATCACTTTTTAATATCGTAGCCACGAAAAAACACTTCAACCAATTATTTATATTATAACCATAACATGTTTTGTACGGGTTCACTCTAGTTTACTTAAATAATTTAAATACTTTTATGAGTCATTTTTAAAATGGATGCATATAGATAGTAACATTAACTGCTAGTCCATGCAGCATGAATACGTATTAGCAGTACTCTACCGGACGTGGGGCAGTTGATCTATTAATTTTGTAAACAACAGAAACTGTACAGTTAAAATAAGTAGCAATTACATGGATAAACGTGTAAAGCGATGAACTATCAAATAAAATAATCAAGTAAAGATAATAAGTAATTCAATAAAATTCTATTTACATTCACAGAAACGTTTGTTTCTCACTATTTTAGAATTCTAATAGGGTTACAACCTTCATATATTAGCACGGTTTGTGAACTTTAATTTTGATTAACTACATAAACCTAAACTTGATAAATCTCATATAGTTGAAAACACAAAATATATTCATACCATACCGAAGGGCACCCCCACCCCCCACCGCGGGGGCGCCTGCTAACATTGGTGGGATAGTGGGCATCGATACTCTTGCCCTTGCGCTACATCTCAATTCATTCCACTCCAGCCATTAACTATTGGATTTTTGGGTCGGATGAATCTGAGTCATTTAAGACTTTGTAGATATACGAAGTTTGTATTCTATAACTATGGGTAATGACATCCAAACATTAAAAAAAAATCAAAGTCATAGTGACAATGAAGTGAATGACTTATAATTGGCTTCTAAAACAGTAGGGCTCAAAACTATTGTAGGCTGTGGTAATTTGATTGTTATATGAGGTCAACATCAGCCATGCAGTTTTAGGTTTAAGGTGACTTTTTTGATAAGTCTGTGTTATACCAAGTCTAAGGTAAACTTACGGCGACACCACTTAGTACGTAATAGATGTTCAAAGCCGGCATAGCTGACCACCGACCCCCCCTTAACCATACAGCAAACAACCCCAATCTTTCTCAAAAAAGTCAATCCTTTCATTATATATAACCAACTCTTTCTCTCTTGTTCTTCAGCCAACAGCCCACAAACAACAAACATAATCCCATCTCTCTCTATCTCTCTCCCTCTCTCTCTCCCTCTCCCTAATGGGAAATGCAATGTCTCCTTGTTGTCAATCAAGTAAGAGTTCATTGGTGAAGCTAATCTTTTGGGAAGGAACAACAAGAATTCTCACCGGAAAACGGTTAGCCGGAGAGATCATGTTTGAGTTCCCGGACCATATGGTATGCCATGCAGACTCATTTTTCATAGGTCACCCCATCCCTGCCTTAGCCATCGACGATGAGCTCATGTTCGGCCAAACCTACTTTGTACTTCCTCTCGATTCCTTCTCGTGCAACGTTCTTTCAGTTTCTTCAATTGCAGCCTTGGGTTCTAGCCCTAAACGGGCCCCTATCGATTTCAGAGAGTGCCCGTTCGAGTACATCAAGGGCTCGAATGGTAGGGTCTCGATCAAGGTCTCACCTGATTTCATGATAAAGCTTATTACGAGAGGTAAAGAAACCCTAGAATCGACTAGTCCTAGCCATAGTTTTCTTTGTAGCACACCAGAGTTGAAGAAGCACTATGACCAGTTGGTTGGATCTAGAGAACAAGTATGGTCACCGAAGCTCGAGACCATTTCCGAGTATAAGATTAGGTTTTCTCCTTGCAGATTTATAGGGTTGGAATGGAAACAACAAGAGCAGCAAAGCTAAGTTTCATCCTTTTGGATTTTGAAGTGCAGATATGTATTTGATAGCTAGTATTGTCTTTATATTGTTCTCAATTTATAAGCTGTACAAACAGTATCATCTTAGATTGTTTAAAGATTGCTTCTTGATTGAAGCTTAAGCATTTCCTGTGCTTTCCCTTCTCATATTTATAGATTCTATCCCACGTTGTAATTTGAATGAAACCCCTAAAAGTAACTATATATCTTCGGATCAATATAAAGGTAGATTGTTTTCATCGTACCCTTACCTACTATCCTCTCTCCTGAAAATGCAACCAACAAATAAAAGAATCGAGGATCTCAATTAAAATCTTATTTCGTAGTAGAAAACTATGGCGTCAAGTCAAAAAAGCTGGTTTCTCGACTAATAAAATAAGGCACGTCACCACTTTAGTTTTTGATAAGATTCTTGGGGCTTTTTTTGCGGGAATTCACCTCATCAACATGAATTCCACATAAATGTGAGTGGGTAGAGCAAAATATGCATAACTTTTCCTAAAGGTAGTAGCTTTTTTCCGCTAATACAGAAGCTCATACTCCTTACCCTAATTTATGGAGGATACAAGCTGATAAAACCTCATATTATTCATGGATCCCTGCTAGATTAGAAGCAATCAAGTGGTACTTTAATTATTAAACACCGGCAATTAGGGGCGCTTAATTATTAGAGCTAATTTATTAATGCTTAACTTATATTAACCGAAAATTTGTAGCATTTATTAAACGCCGATAATTAGCAAACACCAACGGGGTTTCCCTCAAACGCCGGCTATCACTACTTTTCTTCTACTGAGTCATGTGTACTATCCATGTAGGTACGTCTTTCACCAAGTCTCCTTTGCCCTGCCCATTGAATTGTAATCTTATTCTTATTGCTCTCCTTAATTAGTTTAATGATATGTGCCACTGTGATCATGGTGTAGAAGGTTTTTATTGTGAGGGAATTGATAAGCTACCAAGACGTATTCATGTCCAATCGGATAATATTGCTGGTTTGGCGTGGTGTTATTACATAGTTCTTGTTTTATAACTCTAAATTTAGAAAGCTTCAACACTTCAATTACCAGTTCATTTAAAAGTCTTGTGCTATTTTAAGCATCACGAACAAGAGTCGAATCGATGTGCTCCTCCCAATTTTGCTGAAAAAGATCTCTACAATGGCGCCTTGCTTTCATATATCTGAGACCAAACTTAACTTTTATTTTCTTCTCTCATTACATGCAAAGATTATAGTACAGAAATTAGAAGAAAGACGATATACGATGAACTAGAATTACATTTCTTGTGCTTCAATGGACACTACGCAGTAGATGAAATACCATGAATTCATAAAGGTTCTTATTAGGCTCTCTCTCTCTTTTTCATATAGAATTGCCAGGAGAGAGAAGAGAATGTTGTGTTCAAGGTAGTTGTTGTGGTCTATGATTCTGAATTTGGAAAGTTTAACACTTGTATGTTGTCCATTGTTTGAAGATTCTTGAGCAAATTAACATAATCTCGTCGGGGAAGGGATGAATCAGCGGCCCCCCTCCATGTGATTTATGATTCAATATACTTTGTTTGGCCTAAAAGAATTGCTACTGGAGTGTCAATTGAATCAATGTGTTGTCATGTTTGCTTTGTGTTATATCATTTTTGTATATATCCAACCCGATGATTAATCATGTGGTTTGGATGTACTTTTTCAGCATATATTTATCATGCTGATAAGACGGGTTTTGCCTTCTTTTTTCCAAAAGAGAGACAAAATCATGTCTTTGCAAGTTCACGTATTCATCAAATGGCATGTTTTGCCGACCCAAAACAAAAAAATATGAATAGTAAATTGTTTGTTATGCTATGTTATTATTACAAAAATAACCACCCATACATTAGACATGTTACATGCTCATGGTAGATAATCTGACAAAATGTCTCTGACCATTGAATTAAAAAAAAACAAAAAACAAAAAGCAGTTAATCTGATACAATGAATTAATAGTGCTCCCGTTGTCTTTATTAAAAAGAGCAGCACAGTGTACAAAACTCCTATAACTTTGGAATATGGAAAGGATAGATGGACGCATAAAATAATAATTTTTGACGCCCAAATTTTAGTTGAGAACACTTAGAAGTGGTTCAGTGATTGAGTCTGACATTAGATAACCAAAAGAGTCGATGGTTCAATCTTTTTCCACACTCCCTAAGGGCTAGTCACCATGTTGAAGCCATGGTAGCCATTAGCTAAACTCGAAGGAGTAGTTGAGCAAACCTAAACACTTTGTTGCAAAAAGAAAAAAAAAAAAAACAGTTGAGACTACACGATACGTACTTCAAACTTATTGCAGCTTTATGGCCCATATCTAACTTGCAGTAATACAAGCTCAATATGTGGCCCATTTAGCCCAAACAATGAGGCCTATGGGCCTTTAATATTGTAAAGGGTTTGGACCCATCGGTGATACCTTACTACTACTAAGTTACAAATGGGGAACAGTTGTTTTGCTATTTAACAAAGTCCAAGTAGATTTGTCTATAACAAAAAAAATATATATGGATAACAAAATAATTTTTTATCCAAATGAATCTGATTTCTTACAATTAATGATAATTAAAAACAAAATAAAAATACTCTAGCATAGACTTATGGACAAATTTGTCAAATAATAATTTAATTTTATCATATATTTATGTACGAATAAAATGTATAATTCTGATTAGTTTATAATCGAACAAAACATTAATGTATCCAAATCTAAATTATTTAAATGTAATACAGCAAATTCAGAATTTGGATTATTTATAAAAAAAAATGTCAATTCATATTTATTTAATAATATTTAAGTTAAATTCAAATTCGCAAGTGAAAAAATATTTTCTTGTAAGGTACCCAAGTGAAAATATACACTTCCAAGTTCCAACCGGCGTGAACTTTAAGAAGAATGTACCATTGATGAGTATTTAAGTTTTTATGCAGGAAAAGCAGGTCTCCCATTAATTCACGTTTTCACACTAAAAATCGAATGGAAAAAACACTCCCAAATCAGGAAGGACGGTCCGTGACTATCCTTATGTGAATCAAGACTGTGCCAAGTGTGTTGAATAAATATATTTAAAATAATGATGATATTACGTTATTAATATTATTATTTAAAAAAAAACAATAAAATGACTTAGAGAAATGAATGATAACACTTACGTGGCGTTAATAGCAAGGTATGACAGTCCGATCGAAAATATGTCATCCACGTTAGGATTAAGATATTCTTGAGGGATAATTTGCTAATACTTAACCTACCATTGACATTTTAATGATATCATTAGGTTTTGGCACATAATTGAAGAGAAAAATATTGCACCTTTTTCAATGGAAAAATTCAAAATTAACAAAAAGTGCTCAAAATTCAAAATATTGCACCTTTTAATTTTAATGTTCAAATAAAAAAGTATAAAAAAATTTGAATACCGAAATTTCTTCTGATACATTTTTTTCAATTCTATTTTTCATAGATGACTTATCATTAATTCAAGGAAGACACGTTGGTAGACGTATTATGAGAGAATTAAATATTAGATTGTACTATTTTTTTATTTAATCGAACTTACTACTTTGTATAATAAACAAATTTGATGTTGTATTAATTTCAAAAACGTATATTAATTAATCGTATTTTATTATATGTTAGACTTGTATTATGAAAGTATTTTAATATCACCAAAATAGGTGGTATTATAATTCAACTCAAACGTATTATTTTACAAATTTACCATTATAACCCCTTACCTGATAAAATTAAATTGTCATCAATGGAACAAATACTGATTGAGGGGATTTTTGTTAATTCAACATTAATATGATAAAATAATTCTTTAGCTAAACGACTGATTGGATTAAAAAATTACTATCCAACGTTTATGTTGTGTATTACCAAATATTAGATAAAATTATGTATTATTCTAATACCCTATTTAATTTTGTCTTTTGTCCTTCTATATTGTATTAGACCGAATAATTTTATCTAATCCATCTATTTCTAATACGACAACCAAACGAGCTCATTGTATATTATTGGGTCTAACACTAATTAATTGTAAATGATATGAGGAAAAAAAAATAACAATGTTAAATCCACCCAAATTTTTATCACATTTTTAATTATCAATGTAAATCATAGCATCGGTGAATCCATAAACTTTNTTTTATGCAGGAAAAGCAGGTCTCCCATTAATTCACGTTTTCACACTAAAAATCGAATGGAAAAAACACTCCCAAATCAGGAAGGACGGTCCGTGACTATCCTTATGTGAATCAAGACTGTGCCAAGTGTGTTGAATAAATATATTTAAAATAATGATGATATTACGTTATTAATATTATTATTTAAAAAAAAACAATAAAATGACTTAGAGAAATGAATGATAACACTTACGTGGCGTTAATAGCAAGGTATGACAGTCCGATCGAAAATATGTCATCCACGTTAGGATTAAGATATTCTTGAGGGATAATTTGCTAATACTTAACCTACCATTGACATTTTAATGATATCATTAGGTTTTGGCACATAATTGAAGAGAAAAATATTGCACCTTTTTCAATGGAAAAATTCAAAATTAACAAAAAGTGCTCAAAATTCAAAATATTGCACCTTTTAATTTTAATGTTCAAATAAAAAAGTATAAAAAAATTTGAATACCGAAATTTCTTCTGATACATTTTTTTCAATTCTATTTTTCATAGATGACTTATCATTAATTCAAGGAAGACACGTTGGTAGACGTATTATGAGAGAATTAAATATTAGATTGTACTATTTTTTTATTTAATCGAACTTACTACTTTGTATAATAAACAAATTTGATGTTGTATTAATTTCAAAAACGTATATTAATTAATCGTATTTTATTATATGTTAGACTTGTATTATGAAAGTATTTTAATATCACCAAAATAGGTGGTATTATAATTCAACTCAAACGTATTATTTTACAAATTTACCATTATAACCCCTTACCTGATAAAATTAAATTGTCATCAATGGAACAAATACTGATTGAGGGGATTTTTGTTAATTCAACA